AAAATACAAACTCTTTACAATCATATATGATCTAAGATTTGATAATCTTTCTGAAGCTTCTGAAGATCGAACATATAGCATCAAGAACTTCTCATCTACAGACACTATTTGATTGTAAATTCGTTCCAGTAGAGTTTTCTCATGATTCTAAAATAATTATTTAAATATTTAGATGATAATTTTGCAAGAAAAAAAAATCCATCGAACATGAACTACCTCATCGCCAAAGGATTCTTCAACATCATTAATCAGTTCATCGCGACTTCTGCTATATTTGAACCATCAACTCCTATTAACTATCGAAAAAAAAGATTTAATAAAAAATCAAACAATCAAGCAGTCTAAAACATGTCATATTGTTAGATTTGATTTTTTTTACTGTATTTAATCGATAAACAATTCATCTAACCCTCGTTAGATGGGTTGGTATATTAAATGATCATCGATTTAAAACATGTAAAAAAAAACCAACCGCGCAGATATGTAACAGGCTAATAGAATATATTGTACTGTATCAGAGTTATCTCATATCTCCGTGTCCATAAATTTGCGCCTTCATACTTTCGCACTTTAACAAATTTTCTAGACAATTAATAGAGTATAAAGTTTAGCACATAATATTACTTGCAATTTAATTTGAACGAAAATTTTGAGTAAATTGTTAAACGCGCTTACTAACCATCTTTAAAACATCATCAATTCTGATATGTGAAACACATAAACTAATTATTCTTGATACAACGTAAATAAAAGATATGTTTACGACAGAAAAGGTGATAATTTAGATCTGTATATATAATAAAAAGGTAAAATGGTCAATAAATCAACATGATATATGGAAGAGTAAAAGTATAAAAGTGAATAGATAGATACTGCAATACCATGTCGAATGAAAGTTCACATAAATGATCCATTTATTTGAACTACTTCATTGTTCAAAGAGACCTTCCAGGCGATTTGTGATAATTTGGTTGAATTGCTGGTCGTCAGCTAGCAGGTCCGTAAAAACACCTAACTAGACGTTATTTGATATAAATAAGAACTATGTAATTCGCTTGTCTATTGAACTTAGGATATAAGCTCATGAAACTTTATAAGTCCTAGATTCTCACCTGAACTCCTTGATAATGTATTACTTTTCCCGGTAAAGTTTACAAATAAGTCGAACTAACATTCTTGTTTACTTTAAAAACGTATGCACTATGATCGAAGGTTCGATTTTGTAAAGTATTTTTATGGTGTAGAAAAATAAGAAATGGTTGTTTATATAAGTGTGTAGTATTATTTTATCTTGTCTGTTATAAAATAAATAATGATATGACCGTTGGACCTGGATAGATAGCCAATCCAAGCACTTAAATCCGTAATTTACATTAGGGAATTTACATTAACAGGGCGGGCTTTTATTTTGATTGGTTAATTTTTGTAGATCATTTTGTGACGTTACAAAATATGATTGGCTAAT